TTTTTGAGACATGGTCTTGCTCTGTTACCCAGGCTGGAGTGCAGTGGTGTGATCATGGCTCACTGCAGCCTCAACTTCCTGGGCTCAGGTGATCCTTCCACCTCAGCCTCCCAAGTAGCCAGGACCACACGTGCATACCACCACACCTGGCTAATTTTTTGGGGGGTGGGGGGACGGAGTCTTTCTCTGTTGCTCAGGCTGGAGTGCAGTGGTGCAATCTTGGCTCACTGCAACTTTTGCCTCCTGAGTTCAAGCAATTCTCCTGTATCAGCCTCCTGAGTAGCTGGGATTACAGGCGCCCACCACCACACTTGGCTAATTTTTGTATTTTTAGTAGAGACAGGGTTTATAGGTTTCCCCATATTGGTTAGGTTGGTCTCAAACTCCAGACCTCAGGTCATCCGCCTGCCTCAGCTTCCCAAAGTGCTGGGATTATAGGCGTCAGCCACCATGCCCAGCCAATTTTTGTGTTTTTTTAAAAGTTTGTAGAGACAAGCTTTCGCCATGTTTCCTGGGTTGATCTTGAACTTTTGGGCTCAAGTGAATCACCTGCCTGGGCTTCCCAAATTGCTGAGATTACAGGCATGAGCCACCGCACCCGGCCTCAAGATAATTCTTTATCATCAAGGCTGGCCTGAGCCTGTTTTTATTTTTGACCCATTACTTTATGACCATGGCACATATCTGCAGAGCTGTCTGATTTCAGTGAGAGGGAGGGGGCAGCTTTCTCCTGAGTTCCTTGGTGTTCTTCTCTGATAATCTCCACTACCATGAGAGGGGCACGGGGATTGGGAAACTGAGGCTTCCAGAAAGCTCAGAGACAGGTACATGGACCATGGGAATACAACAATTTGATGGGCAGGACAATTTGATGGGTCTAGTCATGACAGAGTCTCCAGAACAGACACAGCCTTGGCCCCCACACGTGGCATCTGCACTCCATAGGGGACTCAGGGTTTGGCTTCACAGGGGACAGTGTCATTGCTGTTGATAATCAGACCTACAGGCTGGCGTCCAAACCAATGAGAGCATTTTAGATCTGGATGCCCGTTGCTTTGAAAATCTGGCTTCTTGGGGTCTGTCCTCATTGAAAAATTGGCCAGGTGCGGTGACTCACACCTGTAATCCCAGCACTTTGGGAGGCTGAGGAGGGTGGATCACAAGGTCAGGAGATTGAGACCATCCTGGCTAACACAATGAAACCCCGTCTCTACTAAATAGACAAAAATTAGCTGGACGTGGTGGCGCATGCCAGCTACTGGGGAGGCTGAGGCAGGAGAATCTCTTGAACCAGGGAGTCGGAGGTTGCTGTGAGCCGAGATTGTGCCACTGCACTCCAGCCTGGTAACAGAGTGAGATTCCGTCTCAAAAAAAAAAAAAAAAAAAAAAAAAAAAAAAAGAAAAAAAAAAAAAAAAAAAAGGAAAAAAAAAAAAAAAAATCAGGCTGGCCCCAAAGCAGAGAGTGAGGCCCCTAGCTCACAGTGTGGGGGTTGTAACTGCTTGTGTAAGGGAACAAGACCATGCAAAATTAGGCATTTCTACCTCCAAATGAACAGACGCTTGCCCGGGTGGGTATCCAGTGGCCCCTCAGCACTGACTGGAGTGAGTACCCGTGGACCCCATGCTGGGCTGGCTGGTAGAAAGATAAATTGCCTCTTAAAGGAAATAACTTCTGTGGGTCTCACCACAGGAAAAAAAAATCTGTATACACACAATGTACAAAACAATTACGGAAAAAAAGCCCAGAGGGGGCAAAAAGCTCCCATAATCCCACCACTCAAAGATCACTGCTTTTAATAATTTACCATGTCCTTCCAGAGATTTCCCCTTGCTACAAATTACATTTTTAGAGAAGGAAAAATAAATAGCTAATGAATCCATTAGCAGGTACTTGTGAAACAGGCAGGCTCAGAGAACCTTGACTTCCAACGTCAGAGATGCAGGCAGCTAATTCCCATTTGGCGGGGGAAGATTAGTTTATTCTGCTTAGCTCAAACCAGAACTAATGGCCTGAAGTGTTTCTCCATATTTGGGCAAAGCCACCTGGTCGTTGGCAGGGGAACGGCTTTCTGTGCGTGGGCTGCAAAAGCAGACAAAGCCTTCAACCTCCCCCACTCTGCGCATCTGTTGCTGTTTGTCATTCATCAAGTGGAGCAGGTGCAGGGGCTCCCGACAGACACAACAAACCAGGCCGCTGTTAGCTGGGCTGATTCCATCCTGGGGGCTGCCTTTCACCCCCTTGCTCTGCAGGCACATGCCCTTCTAACCAGGGTCCCCACTCCAGGTGAGGACCGCTAAACTGAGAGGGGGTATGCTCCTGGGCCTCCCTGGGGTCAGCAAGAGTGTGTCTGAGTTGGTGACTCAGGCTGGACGATTTTGTTTATGGTTTTGTTGCTGCCTTTATTGAATGGCTGTGTAATGAGTAATCTGTAGACCATCCCTCCCACCCGTGCCTGGCCTCCCATGAATTCTTGAAGAGGACTCGTGGGCTGCATTCCTAGAGTATCATCTGAAGTGGTCCATGGGGCAGCCCACAACCCCAGGAGTCAAGAGGAATGCTATGGCCTCCTTAGGAGGCTTCAGAAGTTGAGGTGATCCCTGATCTCTAAATGGTGCCACCATTCCAGGGAAGAGGAGAGAGAGGAGAAACTGGGATGACTCCTTCCAAGTTAGCCTACCAAGTCTTGAACAGCCCAGTGCAGCCCAACCCTCTCCTTGGGAATAAGGGAAAACAGAAGGAGTGGAAGAGGAAGAAAAGAGATGGGGCAAGGGCAGAAGAGTCTAGGAGGAGATGGAAACAAATGAAATTTGGGAAAAGAATAAAAACCCCGCTCCTCTTTGTTCTCTCCCTCATCTTAAGTCCCCAAGAAGAATTTTCAAAGACTTCTTTGCGCCTCTGGCTCCCAGGGCAGCCTCAGGCAACTATGGGGAACTATTCTCCCATATTGGTTTCCTATATCCCCAGACCCCAAGTTCGTGGCGCACCTGGGGCCATGGCTGTGGCAAATCCTGAGCTGACACCAACTCTGAGCCTTCAACTGACGGCAAACCCAGGAAGGGGCAGCCTAAAGACGCTGCTGCTCAGGAGGGGAAGCCAGGGTCGGGACGGAGACTTAAGAGTTTCCTCTGGATGCAACTTCTGAGCCAGGCCCACCTTCCTAAAGGAACCACAGGACAAGCTGAGGGGGCTACCTGCAGGGCTTCAGAACTGTGGGTTATGGTGCAGCTGCAGTCTCTGACATATTAGAGGATACAGCAGTAACAAACGCCCCTCCCGATCTCAGTGGCTTACACAATAAGTTTGTCTTTCATGCGCACAAAGTCCAATGTGAATAGGTGACTCTCCTTAGCAGCTTTCTTCCAGCACTGAGAGAGGGACCCGGAAGCTGCTTCTATCTAGATTTTTTTTTGCTTCCAGCCACACAGATAGAAAAGAGCCTGGAGAAGTCACACTTGCTCTGAACAATCTCAACCCGGAAGTGCCACGTCATTCCTGCTCACTTTTTCATTGGTCAGAATAGTCACATGACTTTAATCATACTGCAAAGGAGGCTGGGAAATATAGGGGAACACATAGATATTTTGTGAGCACTGTCTGTATCACGCCTGGGGATTCAACTCTTTGGGTGGCTTTCTTTTACTTCCAGGAAATGGTTCTAACAGCAACCCCTGCTCAGAGACTTATCACGGGCCCTTTCCTCAGTCAGAGCCGGAGGTGGCTGCCATAGTGAACTTCATCACAGCCCACGGCAACTTCAAGGCTCTGATCTCCATCCACAGCTACTCTCAGATGCTCATGTACCCTTATGGCCGATCGCTGGAGCCCGTTTCAAATCAGAGGGAGTTGGTGAGACTGGCTGCATAGGGCTTCGGGAGAGGAGACTCCTTCTCTGGAAAATTCGTATCTGTCATACTCCCAATGGGTTCAGATTGTTACTCTGAAAGCAAGGGTCTAGACCGATAGGCCTGTGGTGTGGGGCCAGGTGGGGGAGCTTGCTGTTCCCATGTGTGATCAAGTTCAAAGCCGGAGGTGCTGTGTTCCCTTCTCACAAGGGCCACCTGCATCTTCAACTTCCAGGGCTCCTAAATCCATGCTTCTCACCAGTTGGTGAGGGTGGGGAGTGTGTGGGAGCCATGAGGAGCCTCCGCCTCTCACCCTGCCAATGTCATCTTGCAGTACAATCTTGCCAAGGATGCGGTGAAGGCCTTGTATGAGGTCCACGGGACCGAGTACATTTTTGGCAGCATCAGCACCACCCTCTGTGAGTGAACCTCTCCTGGCCCTGCTTCAAACATCACATCCACCTGGGGTTGGCTGCAGGGCAGTGCCATGGATCTAGCTGGGCTGGCCCAAAGCTGCCTCCCACACTGGGTAGAAAGGTGAACAGTGGTACCCATGCAGCTGTTTCTTGGCAGCTTTTGTGCACAGCTCCCAGTGCCTGGCTTACTGCAAGTTCCTAAGCCTGGTGGGCAGGCGTCGAGAATGGGCTGGGTGCACGGCTGTGATCTGGTTGAGGCCTGGGCAGGAAGCCTGGTGTGGTCTGGGTTGGGTGAGGGTTTGGCTCCCAGAGTCCACTTTCCACTCAGGATGCCTCTGTACCTTGTGGCCACATCCCCTTCTTTTTGGAGGACACATTTTGGACCTTTTGTGTCTAGATGTGGCCAGTGGGATCACCGTCGACTGGGCCTATGACAGTGGCATCAAATACGCCTTCAGCTTTGAGCTCCGGGACACTGGGCACTATGGCTTCCTGCTGCCGGCCACACAGATCATCCCCACAGCTCAGGAGACGTGGATGGCGATTCGGACCATCATGGAGCACACCCTGACTCATGCCTACTAGCAGCATGACCGGGGCAGAGAGGAGGCTCCATCCTTCTCCCCAAGGTCTGCGGCTCCTCCCGAAACCCATGTTATGCGCCCCTGTCCCCTGTGCCCTCATCTGGATCTCTTAGAAAATAAATACAAGTTTGAACAGGCTTCACTGCCTCTCGTGTTGGCTACAACCCCTGTGGGCTCAGCACTGACCAGGGGATGGGAGGACTGCTTCTCGTTCGCCAGGGGAGGCTGAAATGCGGGGGAAGCCTCTTCACTCCCATGCTGCCTTCAGGAAAATTAGGGTGTAGAGGCTGGATCTTTTCTCCTCTTGCAGTGTTCTCAGAGCCTGAAACAGAGAAGTCAGCCTGGGAGCTACTCAGGCACACAGCATCCCAGCATATTTACATTTTAAGACGGCCTCGGAGGGGCCAGTGTTTGCTCTGAAGGAGAGCATTTCTGATGGAAAGGTGGGCCCAAACAGGCAGCCTTCACCTCGGTCTGCTTTACTTTCCATGTGGGGAGGAAGCAGGGGCACATTTCGGAGGTGACCAGTCACCCCTCAACCCAACACGAAGTTATTGGCTTGTGACCTGCTCCCCTGAGGTGTCCTCAAAGGTCCTTTGGTCTTGGGAACACAGGGTCAGAGCCAGTCGGAGCCAGCACAGCAAAGCACCACGTATCCAGGAAGAAGAGCTTCTCCTCATCCTTGTCATCACCGACACCATCCTGGTTGTCATCTCTGAGCAGGGTTGAGCAGGCGCTTCCCCAAGAGAGTTGAAGGGGCACTCTTGTGAGATATGAATGAAGTGCCTTCCCCCAGCCCCAGGCTTCCCTGTACCTTTCACCTCTTCATTCCGCCTGCTGCCTTCTGGGAAATGGTGGGACAGGCAGGCTGCACTGGGCAGCAGTGATAGCGGGGCTGTTTGCTCTGCCCTCAGGAAGGCTGATACCCCGTAGATACAGGAAGGGCCAAATGAGGTTGTGTAAGTGTGAGGCAGAAACATTGGTCTTGAGAGCAAGACTTGCATTTGCAAGAGCCAGGCTAGTGTGTGTGTGTGTGTGTGTGTGTGTGTAAAACTGGATGGCCACGAGCTGACACCTGGAGGATACAGAGACAGGGAAGAAAACAGAGTGAAACCAAAATATTTGTGTAGAAGGCATAAAAGTTAGAATCACAGACTCCACTGGGTAAAGGTATGACTTGCCTTATTTATCTCTCGCTTATATTAACTTAGCCTCCCTTTCCATTCAACCTGTGAAGGGAGACAGTGCTTGGGCCAGTTGATAGAAGAAGGGGATGGGAATTGATTAAAACCCCAAGTGAGGCTCATATGCAAGATGGCGTCTAAGCAGCAAATGACTGATGGCTGAACAAGGGAACAAGACGGAGGATTAGAGGCAGCCACAGGGGCCGAGCATGTCTCAGCGGTGCAGCTGTGTAGAACTCTGAACAAAGAAACAAGGTTGGCATGTGAGGAGGCCTAGGATAGAGGCCAGAAGGCCAAGCCTGGGGCTGTGCAGACAGCCGCCATGGTGGCACAGGGGGCACTGGCTAGGCATGCAGATGCCCAGGGCCAGCTGTGCCACACAGAAGCCCAGAAGAAGTGAGGGTAATTAACCCCTGAAGAACCCAGGTCATCTTCAGGGGAACAGCCACAGCAGCAGAGGAGGAGAAAATCTTGATTCTGGCTGAAGTTTCCCACAAGAGACTTTTTTTTTTTTTTTTTTTTTTTTTCTAAGCTGGAATTGGTCTGAGTGACCTAAAATTTCCAACCCCAAGTTTTGTGCTGCCAGTGGAAATTCGAGGTCATGGGCTAACTTAATATAAGCTAGAGGTAAATAAAGCAAGTTATACCTTTGCCCAGTGGAGTCTGTGATGATAACTTTTATGCCCGCTATACAAATATTTCTTTCATCCTCTTGGGGAGGGTATTCCTGGTACTAATAAGCTCATTTTTTTAGATAAGGAAAGAAGGTGTGGAGACGTTTTAAAAGCTGTACAAGAGAAAATTCTTGAGAAAGATTTGAACTTGGGTTTGTTGAACTCTGAAACTGCTATGTCACTGTTTGTCCAAGGGTGGCCAGTGGCCCAGCTGCAGCAGAATCCATGGAGACTTGTTTAAAAGGAAGGGATTTGGTTCCATTTCCAGGCTGAGTTAGAATATCTGGGGGTGGACCCCCCCAAATCTGCATTTTTACCAACTGCCCATGGAGTTCTCAGGGATCTTCAAATATCGCCACTGATCCCTGTTCCCTTGCCTCCCAGGAAGAATATATGCAAGTCTTCTGGGGGAAGTTGAGCTTTGGGGCCCTGCCATTGTCCACCAGGGCTGGAGGTGGTTGCCACAGGGGGAGGCCAGTCATGCTCTAGAGTATTTCCTGGGGGCTGCCTTGGCGCTAGCCTAAAGCAGTGTGATCTGCAGACCACAGGCATCACATCACCTGAGAGCTTAACCCACCCCTACTAAATCCAAGTCTCTGTGGAGTGGGGCCTAGGAGATTCACAGGCAGGAAGACCAAGGGGGAGACAAATGAGCCAGCCGAGGTCGTAGGTCCAGAGACTTCACCTTACACCATATTTGTTGAAACTGTGTCATGTGGTCACGCCCAGCTGCAAGGGAGGCTGGGAAATTGCTCTATAGCTGGGCACATTGCTGCCCCAAATAAAATCAGAGTTCTGTGGGCAGAGAGGAAGGGAAGAACGGGTATTTGGAAGGAGCCAAAAGAGTCTGCAGCAGCTTCTCTGAGGGGCAGGGAGGATCAAAAGAGGCCTCAGAGCCCGTTTCTTGTTTATCAAGTGATGGACTTAATCCTAAAGCCATAGAATTTTCCAGATGTTTTAGTCCAACCCACTGATTTTGCAGTTATGAAGACAGGGGCCCCTGGATCATGAGATTTGCATGAGGCCCCATGTGAATTTAACAGCCGGCAGAAGACTAAAGCCAGGGCGATGCTCTAGTCCCAGCCCCACTGCGGCTTCCTTCCCCTGCGGATTGAGGGCCCACACTCTGGGTCTCCTCAGCAAGCCCAGAGAGATGATGGCGGCGGCTTAAGTTTATCGGATAAAAGTTCAAGATGTAGACGTGCAAGTTTTAGAGCTGCTGCGGAAGAATCTTCTCCTTTTCATAAGCCCTGAACGTTCTCCCTCCCATTTTCTGAGGTATATAACGCTGAACAGCAGCTCCGTTTTTCAACATTCTGCTGGGTGGTGTTTTTTTCTTTCTTTTTCCAACAAACTGCTCTTTTTAGGTATGTTTTTTCATCCTTTACACCAGCAAAATTTATGAGCATTTATTTAAAAGAAAAAAAAACATTGGAAAAACTGAAGAGAGAAAGAGCAATTCTACATATGGAAAGCTATAAAGAACCACAGCGAATGTGCTGGGTTATTGCTTTCTTAAAAAAACAAACCAGGCAGGCAGTTTGGAATGTGAGAGGCCTGTGTGAGGCCAGGAGGGCTGGGATCCAGGAAGGGCAGTGAGGGGCTCTCCACGCCCCCATCCTCCTCCGTGGCCCCTCTGACCGCTCCAGCGAGAGACAGGGCCAGACAGAAAAGGACTTTACCGAAAACATTTAATTCAATGTCAAAATTCTCCTTTAGGAAAACAAAAAGGGCCAGGCAGCCCGGTCAGCACAGGCTGGGAGAGAATGCAGGGAACACGGGGCCAGCCTGGTGGTGGGGACCACACCGGGCCAGGGTGATCAGCAGGCAGGAGGAGGCCTGTGGGCCCCAGGGCCAGAGGCTAGGAGGCAAGCCAGACCCAGCGGATGTGGGAAGCTGTTATCACTTCCAAGAAGTGTCCCAGGTGCGCGGGGTAGGAGAACCTCGAAGGCCAAACAGGCTGCCTGGATTTGTCCTTCCGGACGCCTCCCCCCCGCCCAGTATTTGTTGCTGTCACTTTGTTAACGTGCCTGAGCCAGGCCTGGCTGCTGCAGCTCCCAGACCCAGTCCCAGGCATGTTGGGACACAGGCCGACTGAGCTCTGTGGAATCTTCCCAGGCAACGGGGCCACTTCCGGGGTTGCAGCGGGGGTCCTGCAGACACCCCTCATGGAGCAGCCTCTCCCTGCCCTGTCCTCCAGCACGGCCTGCCTGTCCCACATCTCAAACTTGGGGGGCAAACAATGTCCTTCTGTGGAGGGGCCCCTGAAGGAGAACTCCAGCCTGCTCAACCATCTGAGGCTCTTCTTCCCTGAGCTTCTAGGACGTTCCTTAGCGTCAGAATCCGTTCCCGCCGCTCGTCCCTTGCCAGCTTCTGGCCCTGGGGCCAGCAGTTCGCCTCTTACTCTCTCCTAACCAGCTCTGCCAAGCTCTGCGGCTCTCCTTCCACCTCCCTGCCCCCAGCCCACCTCTCTCAATTCTCCAAAGCATGGCTAAGGCCACGGGGTAGCAGATCCCACAGCTTTAAGTGGGATGCGGAAGGAACATACGATACAGAAAATAAAACGTGGAAGCTGGACGCTGGATGTCTCTGGTGTTAGAGCTGGTGGTTCATGTCCCACCACCGGGTCCCCCCAATAGGCCTTCACTCTCCTTCTCTCCTTGACCCTTGGCTGGGTCCCCTCCCGCGGTGCAGATGCCCTCCAGGTGTTCCTGATGCCCCTCAGGTCCCGCCATCTTTCCAACACCCCGAGGTGCACCCCTGACCAGTTCCTCTTGGTGGCAGATCTCCATTCTGATACTGGGGCTCTGTTTTCAACATTCCCTCAAGACCCTGAACACTGGGGAGCTTCTCTCCTCAGGGGACACTTCCACCAGAGAAAACATCCAGCCTCTACTTCTAGAGAAAAAAGACCACTAGCCACTTTAAAGTTTTCACAGTCCTGCAGCTTCAAAGCAAACACACCGATAGGCTCTACTGGACACTTAGTTATAAAAGCAGAACTTAAGGAGGCCACTGACTGGACCTCATCCTCTCAGCCTTCCACGACACCCCCAAGCCCTGCTGACCTCCCACTACCGCAGCCTCAGCAGGACGCAGCCCCTCTCAACCTGTAATGCCCCGGACATGTGGACCCATCCCAAGCCTCAGGCCCTCCCTGGCTCAATCCTGCAAACTTGTCATCCTCTCTTCACCCTTCCCAGACCATGGCTTGATTTGTTTTGAGGTAAAAAAAATCCAAGTGTTTCAGGTCCAGTAGATCATGTATGTAATCCCAGCATCTTGGGAGGCTGAGGTGGGAGGACTGCTTGAGCCCAGGAGTTTGAGACCAGCCTGGGTAACATGGCAAGACCTCATCTCTACAAAAAAAACTCTAAAAATTAGCAGGGCATGGTGGCGTGCATCTCCCAGATGCTTGGGAGTTGGAGGCATGAGGATCCCTTGAACTGAAGAATTCAAGGCAGTAATGAGCTATGATCACACCACTGCATCCCAGCGTGGGCAACAGAGTAGGACACCATCTGAAAGAAAGAAAGAGAGAGAGAGAGGGAGAGAGAGAGAGAGAGAGAGAGGAGAGAGAGGAGAGAGAGAGAAAGAAGAAAGAAAAAGAAAAAGAAAGAAGGAAGGAAGGAAGGAGAGATAGAAAGAGAAAGAAAGAAAGAAAAGAAAGAAGAAAGAAAGGAAGGAAAGAGAGGAGAGACAGAGAGAAAGAAAGAAGAAAGAAAAAGAAAGGAAGGAAGGAAGGAGAGAGAGAAAGAGAAAGAAAGAAAGAAAAAGAAAGAAAGAAAGGAAGGAAAGAGAGAGGAGAGAGAGAGAAAGAAGAAAGAAAGATAGAAAAGAAAAGAAAGAAAGAAAACCCAAATATCCTAGCTTTGTAAAGTGTCACTGCTGGAAGGGACCAAGGAGAGTATTCTGACCAACTCTTCCATTTAATAGATGAGGAAACCGAGGGCCAGGGATGTGAAGTGACCTGCCCAAAGTCCTATAATGAGTTTGTGGCCCTGTGGATGAGGGTGGATTTTGGGAGACGTCTCTGGGGTGAGATTAGCACCCAGAACCCATCGAATTCCCCTGTGTGGGTTCCGGTTTCTCCTGGACACTGTGTAGTCCCCACAGGGGTCTGGCCCTGGCTCCCCCCGCCACACTTGCTATTCAGATGACATCTGGTTACTGTTCCTGTCAAGGGCAACCCTGACCTCGGGGCCCTGTAGCGTGGGGGTGGAGGGAAATGCTGGCAAGGGTTGAACTCCTGCCCCCACTGCTGCTGCCCAGGCCGCACTCCCACAGGACCCTAAGGCCAGCAGGAGGGGGCTGGGAAGTCCCCCAGAGGGGAATGCGCCCCACACAGGGCCGGGGCAGCCTGGACAAAGCTGCTGTGGTGAGAGGCCAAGCACACACAAAAGATTGGTCCACCCATCTAGTCTTCCCAAGCCATCAGGGTCGGTGGGAGGAGGAGGTGTCAGGCACTCTGCAGGTTATCTGTGCCTTAAACAGGTCTAATGGGGGAAAGCCTGGGCCTGCCCGAAGCCGCCTTGGGGATGAGAGGGGGCAGAGGCCCCGCTTGCTCGATCCCAGGAATGAAAGGCTGGCGCTCCGGAGCAGGGAACAAGGGGACGCTTGGAATGAGGCCCCAGCAGGGTGGCCACTTGGAATCCTGGCTCTTTTGCTGCCCAGTAGGCAAACAGAAGTGCAGCTTTACATTGTGGGCAGGGAGAGTCCCTGCTGGGACTCCAGGAGGCCCCGAGCCCCCGATGACCCTGAGGCCCTGCTGGCCCCAGAGGCCCCATTGGCCCCAGATGGCCGGGCGTGGAGCCCTGGCTTATCTCTCCAGCTGCCCAGTTCCCTGCCACTTTATCAAGAAGGATGAGAGGGTGTCAGAGTTCAGAACTCCCACCCCACCCTCCCCGTGGGACAGGACCCAGGTGTGGGGTATGTGGGGGGCAGTGGAGAACAGCCCTCAGGCACAGTCAGGAGTCCT